GGCAAATAATTCGCCCATGTTGAACTGATTTCATTGGTTTCAGATGAGTTTAAATCATTTACATCAAAATTCAAACCTACAGGGTCGGTGTGCGTGTTGTAAAGTGTTATGGATAGCCTGCCCTTATCCTCGAACTCTTTGCGTTTTGCCCAAGTTTGAGCGATCACCTTGTGTTTTGGCATTTTTATTTCTTCCACAACTTCCTTTCCGCATTTCCTAAATACGTAAACAAATTTGTTTAAAACGATTTTAAGAACAAACTTATGGAATACATACTTTCTTATGTAACGACGCCAGGTGTCAAGCGACGACGGTGTCCAGCACCAAGTAGACATGACAATTCCCGAGCCAAAGAGGCAGATCAAATGCAGCTGCAGCAACGCAATACTAGGACGATTTTCGATTCGGCACTTTTCCTCCGTTGCAATGCGACAACTGAAATTGTGAAAGTGAATAAGTTTCCAGCCTACAAATTCCACTGTGATTGACTTACACTATGAATTTTCCGAGACTTTCAGCCCATTCGCGTGAATGCTTAAACTCGTTTACATGACAGGCGATGGCTGCTAATATGAAAATGAGTGTAAATATCGAACACACACCCATTCTTACAATAATCAGATGTATCTTATTGCTTGCCGATGTGGATTTAATATCGTTGGCAAAATGCTTCAGCCCAAATAGCATTATCATGCCGCGTGTAACAAAATAGCCACCAACCAAAATAACGCCACATAAAGGGCCCAGCAATAACGCCGCCCGCATGGGATGATTTAGGTAACCAACAAAGCAAATGCCAACCGTACTGTTGCCATCTACTTCGCTCAGTGCCATTGTGGTAATGGTAAGCACCAGCGGTAGTGACCATGCAACCAAATGGAAATATGAACCTTTCTTATCAATGCGATCCTGCACGTTGCCCACTGCACGCAGGTGCCAAGTGTAGGTGAGGAAAACAAACCAAACCATGGCTGCGGTTAGAAAGTAGTAGACAAGTACAAATACCACAATGCACGATAGATTTTCACCGGCAGTCGGCTCTGAATGTCGCAGCGTACCATCTTTGCGGCAAACGATATCCTCACGTGAACCGGGTGTGAATTGTGCCAGCCAACTAAGGTGTAAAATTTTATAGTAAGTTTCAATTTCTATTTATTAAAGTTTTTAACATTGAGGTACTTACCCCAAACAGGAAATCATAAAGCATAAATTTATGTAAAACACAATCAAAGCTGGGTACTTATTAGCATTCTCCCAATCAATAATAAAAGTGGCTACAACAAATAAATTAGCTAAGAAACACAGTGTGCCCAGCCAGCTAATCAATTTGTGAATTTGCCGATGCTCATCATCTGTATATAAAGGATCTTTGCATTGTACACCGCAACCTTCAATGCCGGGATAGTAACTGCTGCTGGAATCGGCTGGCACCAAAGGTGGCAAACAGCTACCTGTTGCATTGAATTTCATATCCTGCACATCGTTGGTACATTTAGGTGGAAACAAAGTCTCATTGCAACGTAGGAATTCGGGGAAATACGAGCTATTGTAGAGTATGCGACATGGTTCCCATGTTTTGCGACACATTTCCACAGAGGGTAAGTAAACCATATCCTTGCCATTTATTTGTTCACATTTTGGCATAAACACAGAGCAGAGAAAAGGCTGTGCGAAATATTGTGGATTAAATTGTGTATTTTTATAAATGATGTGATATGTGTACTTACTTGTATTACGGCCCAACATTTGGGTACATTTCTAAGCGCACGATAATTACTTAAATGCTTTAACATTTGATCTTGGTTTTGGTAGTCGGTGAGATCTAAACTGGTTAAACTATATGTAATGTTAGCACCAAAACATGTGTTGTTTACGAGCCGCTCGCAGCGACCATGACGCACACACTGTGTGTGTTGCATATCCAGGCCACGCCCGTCGAACCAAGGCTTATTGTCACGATTCTTCTTACCATTAATTCGATAATTGATTGTACCATTTATGGGCTCCAAATCGGTTTGTATAGTCACAGTGGTGGTGGATGTGTATGACGTAGCGAGTGTGTTAGCGTTCCGTGAAGAGACATCTCCTAGCGTACTAGGCAGTTGAATATAAACGCATAGTAACAAAAAGTAACTTAACTGCGTTTTACTCCACTTGTCCATGGTACAATACTGTTTTGTCTTCCTAGAACAATCGCAAAATTTGTATATGAGTTATACCATGAAAAATATCATCAAAAGCTACTCACTTCAATGCAAGCAATTTAATAAAGAATTCGCATAAACAAAAGGACTTTATTAAAATTCACGTAACATAGTAATTCATATTATTAAAGACATGCACTCAATACGAAATTAAACACAAATTTGAAAGAAAACAAAACTCAACTCAGACCGCGGAAACAAACGGTAAGAAAATAAATGGCAGGTAAGATTGCTATGGACCACCCGGGATGCGAAAGAGAGAACAAAAACTAAAACAAAATAATATATAAGAGAATGCAAAATAGAGATGCCAGACCGATACGGTGTTGAAAGAGTCATAACAATTGCTCATTGGTATGAAATATATTCGCGAAAGAATATTCGTTCACGCATTTTCTATTGTTAATGTACAAGACATGTAAGAGGGAAATTTATAGCAACAGAATATTCGAATTTTAATCAGTTTTACAATTTTTCAAAGAAGAAATTTTAAATTATAATAAAAAATTTAAATTCTTGTAAAATTTCTAAATAGCACAAAAAAAAAACAACAATAACAATAATTAAATTTTTAATACATGCTAGTGGGGAAAAAAATTCTGGTGTCTCTGAGACAACCGTCCTGGCATCGATGCGGAGGATTCTACGAATTGCCCTCTCAAATACATAGCTGGTGTTAACCTTTTCGTCGATGAGACTACCGATGAACTCTTTGTTTAGGAGAGTCCGTACATACCGATATTGTTCGTTGAGAGGCGAGAGACAGATTGCAATACCGCAAAATTTTACCTATTTTATCAGGGTGGAGGGACGGAAGAAAGACTAGTTGGGAGGTTAATTAACGATTTAAACCTCTTTTGGTTTTACCCCCCAACTAGCAGCTTGGAATGACGCATACCGTGCGCTCGCTGCCAATACCTTTCCTTGCACACTCTTTCTTCCTTGCGGAGCAGCTCCTTCACAGTGTGGGGACCCACCGCAATGAATGGTTCAGGCCCAACCATACTGGTGGAGGCTGCGGAGCGGGCTAGCTCGTCAGCTAGTTCGTTGCCGGCTATACCCCTGTGGCCGGGCACCCAGATTAGGTGCACCTGGTTCTTTGCAGCTAGGTTGTTCAACCGTTCTCTGTACTCCTGCGTTTGTATGATGCTTTTTACCATTCATTTCAGGTGACTTCTGCCGCGCCGGTATCCCCGCAAATCTAATTCGGCTGTGAACACTGGCGTTTAGCAATACCAAAAGCCCCGTCAGGATCGGGAATGATCTATTCGAGACGTTCGATACCAAACTGGGTTTCAGACAAAGCGACTCCCTATCGTGCGACTTCTTCAATCTACTTCTTGAGAAAATAATACGAGCTGCAGAGCTGAGTAGAGAAGGTAAAATCGTCTATAAGAGTCCACAGCTGCTGGCGTACGCCTATGACATCGATACTTCCTTTTAAGTTCTGCTCTCTCCAGACTGAATATGGGGGCGAAGCAAATGGGTCTGGTAGTGAACGAGGACAAGGCGAAATATCTCCTGCCATCAAGCAAACAATCATCGCACTCCCGATTTCGGACTCAGTAAGCAATTGAGAAGTAACGACTTTTCTCGACGAACAAAGACCGAACTATATAAGTCATTCATCAGCTCCGTCATTCTATATGGTGCAGAGGAATGGATTATGACATCTGATGAGTCCGTGTTAAGACTTTTCGAGGGAAAGGTTCTGCGGTAGATATATGGTGTTTTTCGCTTTGGTAACGGCCAATACCGCAGTTGATGGAACGATGAGCTGTACGAGTAGTACTCGCCCAGGAAAGCAAAGGAAGAAGAAGACCTCCACTCTGTTGGAAAAGGACCTTTTCCGGGTGGAAAAGGACTTGGCTCCCATTGGCAGCAAATAACGAAAAGGAAGAGCGACTAGCGCGTTGTTGTAAACTCGGCTATAACCGCGTAAACGGAGTATGCCTCATTAAAGAAGAAGAAGAAGAAAAATATACAATCTAAATTATATTTTTAGGTAGGTTCATTGATTTCAACGGTTGTCGTAACCTTGAATTCTTTAAAGGTTGCAGCAGGTAAGATACTCAGAACATTTTAAATTAAACACACACAGTGAAGAGAAACTAACATGCACTTCGCATATGTAAACAACCGGAATTCCCTTCGTCAATCATAAATTCCTGCGAACATGTGCATTCACCTGCATTCAGTGCCTAGACACTTTACCATTTGGCCAGGGCTATCTTAACTGCCATGATTTAGTTCATTTGCCTAATCAGGGAATGCGGCGACCCAATCACTGGCCGACAATGTAGCTCAATGCATCGCATTAGTTATGGAATAACCATCGACTAATTGAGGCTTAGCAGTAGGCGCATCGAGTAGAGAATCCGATTTAGTGGTGGGGGGTGTGTGTGTGTGTACGTTCATATCGTTAGTAGGTGACGACCGTCGCTTGTTGTGTTGGCGATTAGGGTCAAATATTGACGTTGCGAAATGAGTTATTCGCTTACCGAAGAGTGCGTGGAGAGAGAATCACGTAATGAAGTGACTTACATCAGTGTTTGTGTGTGGGAGCAACACAGTAATTTGGGCTCCCACAAATGCCAAGCAATTCAATTAGAGCAATAACACCAAAACCGCGTTGTGACAACATACCCAACCCTCCAAGAGAGAGCATGGTTTAAACACAGTTACTCTTATTGAAAGCTTATTTTAAAGAATTAATCTGGAGTATAGCTAAATAACAATAAATATATAGATACAAATGAAACGTGCAGTAATTTACCGTTAGATAATGTTGAAATTTGTATTGCGGTGCATATTTCAATATGTCATATATTCGAGAATATCAAAGGACTTCTGCTAATCATTCCCATGCTTGATTGGCGGCCAAATATAGTGCGAACAATGTCTGCACGCTCATTATGTAATGGACCTGCGTTTCTATAGGCCCCTCCACCTCGAACTGTTGACACAGTGTGCGCACATAACGCGCAACGTCCTCATCTTCCAGGCACTGCTGATACGCCTGTTGCACAGCTACACTAGCATCAGCATACGAGCGCGGCCAATTCATCAATAAGGGCTCAATCTCTTTGCGCGGTTGTATATCATTCACGGTTTGGGTCATATGCAATTTCTCGACCTCATTAATCCACTTGTCAATTTCCTTAGGCGATTTGGCAGTTGGAATCATTGAAGCCGATGCAGAGCGCGCATTGGAACCACTACCAGTGAGCACCGAACGCAATTTCATATTAAGCAAACTCGGCTCCGATTGTTCACCGGACGGCTCGTCAAGCAGATAAATACCCATTTTATGTAAATACTCGTTGATTTCTTGCTGACGTTGAGGCTTCGATAGTGGCGGTATGGTGACCTTGAGGAAAGCGTCCACATCACCGACAGATGGTACAAAATCTGGTATGAAAGGTTGCAGGCGATAAGGTGTATCAATAGATTGCGGTGTATATTTTAATATGTACGGAAAGAGTTCTTTTAGCTCCTGATTTATTGCTAAATTTTCCCAATATTCAGATTTGATGGACAACTGCTGCTCTTGCGGAGATGATTGTACTGTTGTCGCATCTCCAATAACTTCAATTTGTGGTTGTGGTGAAACAGCTTCATCTGATTCACTTTCGGATGGTACAATGAGTCCACCACCACGCATCGGAGGTTTAGCCGACAATACATTGGCAGTACTGCGCGCGCTGCCCGGTCGTGTCTGTGGTCGTTGGTTAGCTGTGCCGCGTGCTAAACCGTCTATTAAGCGCGGCTGCATTTCACTTACATCATCGTCGTCATCGTCATCGTCATCGTCATCCTCGTCATCGTCATCGTGATCAATAATATCCTGCAATAGGCCATCATCGTCGGTCGAGCTACCATGCTATTGTGAAGTTTAGAAATTTGTTATATTACGCCTCTGTAATTCTAATTAATTACAAATAAACTGAAAGCTTACAATCTTACTGCGACGCAAGGTAGCAGTTCGATTAGTCGATGCGGTCCGACCACTGCCATTGCTTGGTATTCGGTCTACTTTAAAATGACTTAGATTCTTGGAATCTGGCCCACTAATTGAAATCTCCTCATCATAATAATTCATTTTAATGCCTGCTTAAATAAATACACTTATTTATAGAGCTACAAAAGGAAATTACACCGCAGCAAAAATATTTTCTTTTCAGCAGTAATCTTATTTGTTTGTTGCCACCGTGTTTGTTTATACCGTTTCCTTGACAACTTCTATTGTATTACGTTCTGCCTTGAGTTTATAGCACAGTCATGCGTTTGAAAAATCTATCTTGCAAAAAATTAACTGTTTTAATGCTCTCAAAAAATATTATTTAATTAATGCGATTTGCAACTAACTTTTTTTGCTTGCATTTGTAATAAATTTCGTTATTTGCTTCTTCACATCACATCCGCTTTGACAGCCGCCTTTCCGTTGCATCATTTCGCAGCTGGCAATGCTGTAGTAATGTCTGCGCTAGTGTTACCGGATGTACTGAAGCCATTTATCTTTTGCACTTACTTTAATACAACTAAGTTGGTGTTTTTTTTTATTTTTTATTTTTAAAGTAAATTTCTAAATCCTATCATTATTTCTATGAAAATGTAGAAAATGAATTCTGTTATGCATAAAGCATACATATATCATAAAATTGAATTTTAAAAACTTAAAATTTATAAAATATATAATATATATGACTTTATAAATCTATAATAACATGAAGCTTAAATAATTCAATCATATAAGGTTGTGTCGATAGCCCAAAAATTACAATTTTTCAAAAGTGTTTTAAGCCATAATGTCAAAATCAGCAGTTTAGCTTTGGTTTTATGATTCAAAATAAAATTTTCGAACATTTCGAGCAATGAAAATCTGTTTTTTGAGTGATAACTGAATAGGAATATATTATACTATATCATACAAAAAAAATTTTTTGTGATTCGAAAATAAATTTTTCAAATTTCAACTAATGAGAATATGTTTTATGTTATAACTGAATACCAATAGATTATAAATCAAACAAAGTCAGCAAAATGAAAAACAAAACATTTTTTTTTCCTTAATTTAAGGAATAAAAAATGTTTTTGTAAGAGGCAGCACGCTCCGAAGTAACACAGAATGTTCATAACTGATTCTTGATTCTTAACTAATTAAAATTGTTTGCAAATATATCTAAAATATTTTGTACACTTTCTGAACTAGCCGGCAACATCACCAGCTGGCGGTTTTCATCGCTATTCCAAGAGCAACGAATGCCAATTGGTATTATTGCGCGTTGTTGCTTTCGACACGTCGGACGTCAAAGTTGTTTTTAATTCGTATTTCTGTGGCGGTGGAAACGGAATTTGTTTTGAATTTTTGGTTTCGTAGCAAGCAAGTATGCGATTATAAAATTTATTATTCATATACCGCGATTTGTGTGCTTACGGTTTAACAGTATCTCATGGGAATACTCAAATCGTTCTACTTTATCGGTAGTCTACTTTATCGGTTCGGAACTAATTCTTAACTTTATATCTTGCGAGTTTCAGCGCATTTTGTACGCGTAATTCAGTGGCAAATAATAAGTGTTAATTTCATGAAGCAGGAATATTAGATATTAAAGAATAAAGTGGCACTTATGTGCAACAAGAAAATAATTATACAACAATTAAATTATATCCATATAAAGTGTGTTGCTAATCAAGTGAATTAAGCTCCCAATGAAAAAGTGAGTGAGTACATGATTAATTAAAAAAGTTTTATTATAAAAATACTAATAAAAAAATAAAAGTCAGAGTGTCACCGTGCAGTAAAAATAAATCTTAAACTAAATTAGACGAAATGAATTAATTGCCGCCATCCAAGAGTTGCAAGGCTACGATAACACGTTGATCACGACGATTTAGTTACCAGCAAGTAGTGTATTTGTTGTTTGTGCCAACTCTGGCTAGGTGAGCGAACTTTTTACCCGATTCATGCCAAAGGATTAATTCTCTGTTACTTTGGTGAGGAGCACTCAATAAAAAGCGAGTAAGACGACCAACACCGGCATTTTAAGTTCCATTGACAATAACAACAAAAGTGTGAAAAGTGCAAAAGCAAAAGCAAACACAAAAGGTAGGTAAATCAAAAGCACGTCGACTTGTTTCATGGGACAAATAAAAACTGTGTGTTCCTTTCATTATTATGTGTGTGCGTGTGTACGTGTGTTTTAATATAAAAAGTGAGGTTATTATCCCAAAGGAGGGTATAACTGGTATAGGTACGCACCTACACATACGCAAGTGTAGAGTTAAGTTAATAAAGTGTATTGGTGGAAGCGGCTAGCAGCAAAAGTTTCCGTGTTAAGCTTGGTACTATAAGTTTTTGCGGAGATATGTTTAGTGTTGTTGTTTATTTATTATTTTGCCGATTGGAAAGTCGAAAAGATCAAACTAAATAACAAACTTAATATCATTGAAATTTAGCAGAGCTAAGCTTAAAGCGAAAATGATAATGTGTTGTTATCTAATGTTTTGTAATGAAAATTCTAACGCATTTATTTACGTACGTACATATATTGTTTGTTTGTGCGGATGTTTACAATGCTGTGAATGGTTTTTTTAAGAAATCACAAGTTAGAAAATCGTTTATTGTAGAACGTTTATTATTACTCGAAAGAATATTCTTTGGCATTAATTTTTTTAAGATTATTTCTTTCAAATTTTGGCCCATCCGTTGAGTGCAATTTTCGATGACTCGTTCAGCTTTTCGACTGGCGAATGACAAGCGTGATGTTTGCCCGCCTGAAACGAAGCGGGATTGTCCTCAGAGACTTTAGATTTTACACATCTCCACAGGAAAAAGGCTAAAGTTGTGATATCACACGATCTTGGCGAACAATCGACCGGCCCAAAATGCGAAATTATCTGCTCACCGAAGTGTTCTCTCAATAAAGCCATTAATGGTTACGTTCTCACCGGCATCATTTTTGAAGAAATATTGACCGATGATTCCACAAACCGCACCAAACCTTTGTTTTTTTTAAGGGGTATTCTACTCTAGAATTTTGAAAAATTTGATTTTTTTCATATATTTAAAGTTTAGACCCTTCAGAACATATCCTCCAAAGAATTTTTTAAAAATTAAAATTTTAAGAGCTATAGTTACTTTAGTGACGCAGTACCTAGCCCGGTAGGTAGGTAGACTCACTTTTTAACGCGTTTTTCTCGAAACTACTTTTTTCCACACGGTACCGGCATTATCTCAAGTTCTATACTTGTTTTTAATATTAAAAAAAAAAATGCAGGAATTAAAAAAACACGTAAAAAATGATTTTTATTTTTAGGCAGTCGCCATTTTGAAAAAAAAACATTTTTTTCGTATTCCCTGAAATAGGGACTATAACAGCTCTAATTATTTTAATTTTTAATATTTTTTTGTAAAATTTTTTTTTCTGTATTCTTAAGATATCAATAAACACACCATAAAAATGTATAGTAAAAATATTTTTGGTTTTTTTTTTAATAAAATTCAAAATTCCAAAAAAATTCCAAAATTTGATTTTTAGAGTAGAATACCCCCTTAATGAAATGGCGCTCTTGAATCTTTATAGAGGTTGCTCTTACAATAATATAAAAAAATTTGGCTCGAAAAATGAACTTTTCAAGAACCCATAGAGCGAACCGATGTCTAAACTAGAATATTGTTAAAGTTTCATTTCATTTTATGCAATCGTTCTCAAGTTATTTGGTTAGTTTAAACATAGCTTCAAAATACTATTCGACTTCGACTTTCATACGACAACTTAGCGGTGCTCAAAAGCAAAAGAACTATTTAGTTTCTCCGTCGATTTGTGCCCATAAGTTGTGGATACAACATTACACACCTGAGCCCAATTGGCAGTGCATTGAGTTGCTATATTGGAGGTCGTGTATTAACGCTCAAAAACATCTGAAACGACCGACCAGTCAGGATTAGCCACCAATTTTTGAGATTCACATCATTTTCATCGAATATCTTGAACATGATGGAACAATCAATAAACAGTATAACTGTGCGTTATACCATTGATTGGTCGACGAGATCATAGTTAGATCATATTATTAGGTGAATGACTTTTAGTCCATGTAATATACAATATATATAATTTTATCGTTTTTGATAACGAAGAAAAAACATATATTTAATATACGGTGCCTCTGTCTCATATTTTTAAATATTCCAGCACTTAAGCTACTTAAAGCTTATCTCAAAAACAAACAAAAGCAGGGCAACTATAAATATGCAAAAATGCCAGGAGAAAGCGAAAGGTCATAAGAAAAATATGTGCACTTACGAATAAAGCAGGACAACACGCCTCTCAATTTTGTTGAGCATAAGCAGCCAACATAGTCGAGGCAGCTCAATAAAAGAAAGGAGAGCAACGTCTTCGTTTGTTTTGACTGGTTCGCTATTATTGTTATCGTTTTTATTATGTTTTCCATTTATTGTCATGCTTGGCGATTTCTTTGCTTCTATTTTTTGTGCCTTTATGTGTATTCCTAAGGATGCTTAGCATTTTTATTTTTCACTGAACTTCTCACACAACCTGTGCGCAGTAGTCTGCTCTCCTGCTTTCACGTACTGCTGTTCTCAGCATCCGGTAAGACTTTCACTGTTGCTGAACTTGATTATTGTCGCAACCAAGGAAACCAGCGGTACAAACGGCGAGAGTGGTACTTAAGCGAACAATGAGCTCGGAAGTGGCACTCACGCATACACAGGATATACTCAACGGCCCTTCTCACTTTTCTAGAGGCATAAAAAGAAAAGCACAGGATTGCTACCATAACCGCATGTGTGTAGGAAGGAAGCAACGGAATAGCAATGAATTTATGCCTTGAGCATGTCTTGGCACGTTGCTTTTACCCCCCAACTGCTGCCGCGTAGTCTATTTTTAGGCGCTTATGATAGCTGCGAAGCTACGCTGAACCATTATACCAAGTTCAAACACTTAGTTACAAATAATAAGCATATGCAAGCAAATATTACCCAAAATAAAGGAAATGGGGCAAACAATTGCTTCCGCCTGCTGTTCAACATTGGTGCACGCGTATGAAGAGACAATATCCAAAGCAGTCTCAACAACAGAAAATTTCGTTACTCGTGCGAGTCGACATGCGACCGAAAGAAAGCAGTGTGGCTTAATTTACAAACAAATAATAATATATAAGATTATACTAAGAAAGGCAATGACAACAATAACCGTGAAAGCCAAAAACGAAAAATATACAAATAATAAAAAATAAAATAAACTGAGCGGCGTTGCGTTAAAATTGCAAACACCCGAGTTGATAGCATTTTAGTTGCCTCAGTTGCCGCCCGCAGTCGATAAGCAAATAAAAGAAAGCCTACTTTCGGGCTATTTTACCATGTTAGATAAGCCTGATGTCACAAGGGGGAACACAGCATAACGATGGACGTTAGAATCCTCCATCCTCTGCTTCTTAGTGTAGGCTCCTCTTTATGGCATGATAATGAAAGGCTCACAAACTGTAGAAGGCGCATAAAAGAGGCGCTTACATGTTCCAAAAAAATATTGTGTACCCAAAGCGCAATAAATAAAAGTAAAATAAAAATATCTAAGATAAGCCACGCAGAATTGACTAAGGCGCAGCACACTGAAATAGCTAAACCAAGAATAAATAAAAGTTTTATTACTTTTATTGCTCTGCAAGGATGCTCCAAACTGTCGGTCGATATGGAGAATATTATGGATTAACATAACAGATGAAAGTAATTGTGGCATGTGATAAGACGTTGGCGAGACATGGATTCATGTGTGCTTAACGTCACAGTCAACTAATGAAATCTGACAGCTTTTCTCAATGGGGAAAAAATAAGCTTTGCTTCAATTGTGCCTTAAACCAAGTGTGCGTCCTTTCTTCTTCTCCTTTAATGGCATACACTCTGCTTATGCGGTTACTCCTTTCCGCGACAATTGGAGATGCCAAGTCCTTTTTCTCCTGGTATTTTCAACGGAGAGCTTCTCCTGGCGTACTGTGTCGAATACTCGCAGAGCTGGAGTGTTTCAGCGTTGGATTTCAAAGCTGTCGTTTTGGTTGGTGTTAATGATGGCTCCAAGGCAGACGAAATTATCTACAATTTCAAAGTTATGACGAATGCGATGACTGTTTATCTGATGAAGAAGGTATTTTGTCTTGCTCTCGTTCACTACCAGATCCTTTTGGCTTCGCTTATTTGTTCCACCTGGAGAACAGTTCTTCGCCACCGTATTTGAATACCTCGGCCGGCAATCCATCTGCCCCCGCCGCTTTGTTGCTGTTCAGACGATAATTGCTATTCGAAAATCTTCATGGTCGTTCAATGGAACGTCTCCCCCATAGTCATCGATTGGGGAATGGGTTTCAGCATCTCATAGTGTTATGGTTTTATTGCCATTCAGAAGGTGGAGAAATGTTCCCTTCATAATTTCAGTATGCACTTGGCAACAGCCACTCAATGGAGATTATTCTAAAAACTTTACCCAGCAAACCAGCTAGTTTCAGTCTGAGTAGAATACTCCAGTTTTTATTACAAGGAGAATTATAGAACTCAACCTAATGAACTCAATCCATTACAATATACCTTCTGATCTATATATACTGTCTGATCGCTTGCAAAAGACTAACGGTTCACCTGGTAACTATAAACTAATTTGATAATCCATTTAACGAAGAGTGTTAGACTAAATCATAGTAGTTATACGAGTTCGTTTGAAAAAAAATGGACAATACGCTTGATTGGACAGGGAATGTTTTTTTCGGTTTATCAATTGAGTAGATTTTTAGTACCTTAAAGTGTAGTTTAAGCTGAGTAATGTTATAGATTTTTTGAAAAATCCTGACTGGTCTAATATATCCAAACTGAGTGGCTGAAATCGGCACACGAAGAAAAGCACTTTGGCGGACTTAGGTTGAGTTGGTTTAGTCCAGTCCACACCGTTTAGTGTACACCAAAGACGCTTTAGAAGAATATCCGAATGAAAGCATACACCGTTGCGCTCAACATCTGAATTATGCCCTATTTGCGGAAGGATCCATTAAATTTTGTAAGTGGAATCAAATTTCTGGTGCCGAGAAGTGCAGAATGTTGGA